CCCTGCTTTGCACCCAAAAATTCCCCCTGTGGGACTATTTGGGGCAAAATCAATGGCTTGTTCGTGAATTAATGGGGAAACTACGAATCTTTTACTGTGGTGGAAACACATCAGTGCAACTTACATTATTTTTCTCCACATAAAAAAACCCCTTTCATAATGTAACAAATTTTCAATCCCTTTTGGTTCACTCTCAGTAACTGCTATATCTCTCGTTTTCCCGTACTATCAACAAACGATCCTTGTTAAATCATCATGGTTAGAAATTTTAAGTCGTTTGTCCTGACTAGGTTGAAAACAGGGGGATCAATGTTAAAATCCGGGGGGGCCCGGCGTCACGAACAAAATATTTAAGCCCAAAACTTGTCATCCCCTAACTAACAGGGGACAAGGATGGTTGTTGAATCTTTGACATACTCTATATTCCTGAGAAAATAAAATAGTTTCTCCTACAACTTCAATGGGATAATTTTTCTCAGTGTTATTACATCACAAGTGGGGCTTTTCATATACCAGCATGAAAGGGTTCTTCCCATCAAAAAGTCCATGACCTAGGAAATACACCCTGGATAACCCAGAAATATAACCATTAAAAGCTTTGTTTCAGTGTAACCTTGTGAAGGGGCTTTATAACAGCCCCTCCATAGGGTTTTAACTAATCTATCTTGCAATAGGTATCATCATTTATGGTCAGTACTCTTTTCTTAATAAAGGGGAGAAACTGCCCGTGTCTCTGAAAGAAATTATTCAGTTAGAGTGATTCGTCAAATCCTACTTTAAAACCCCTCGAAAAGTAGGACTCTCGCGAACGAATCTTTTCGTCGATACAAATCTCTGGCTAGCACTATCCGAGTAACTTACTAAAACGTAAGATCAAAGGGATTACTGGATTTTTGGGGCCTTTGTTGCTCGGAAGAAGATACGACTTGGTGGGGGCCCAGCCGCAGACTGTTTTCGTATCTCTTTCCAAATTTTTTTGTTTCAAAAGGTACTTTTTTCTTTTTTCTTCTCGATACGATTTTGTCTGCCACAGAGACAGATTCGGTTGGAGTTTTCCTGGTAAAGGTAAGAATTACAGTACAGATACATCACCGGCAATGAGCAGCTGATTTTGGTTCCAACTTCTAGGACAAAACTTTAGTTTTCCCTTTTTTTGTGGTTTAGTACTACAAAATTTGTGAGAAATCTCGTAATTGTCTGCTAATGCTGCAGTTTCCAGAAATTTAAGGGAGTATGATGATCAATATTTTTGTATGTCGCAGACATACATTTTTTTAAATCTTCAGTGTAACAACTGAAAAGGGGTGTCGTGTTGTTCACTTGGCAGACCTACACCACCCCCAAATGCAACTTTTTTTTCTGAGCAAACTTCCCCAAGTTTGATTTGTCGTCGTTTTAAAATACAAAATGCACTTGAAAAATTACAGGCAACAAGTTTTTAAAAAGTCTTAGAAAAGTTTTTTTTGACGCGTCATAACTAGTACTTTGGGAAAAGGTAAAGCAGCAGTCAAGTTTGAGCTCTTCCCGTCAAAACTGTGTGCAACAAATAGCCCAGTGCTTACGGGCCCTTTAAAACTTTCCTGGTTTTTTAAACACATCAAAAATAGGTGCTAATCCTCTCAAAAAAATAGGGAAACCCTGGATCACTTTCTCCCATTAAATGTTCCTGTGATCTATCAGTCTGTTTTCTTCCCCCGACAAACTTTTTTTCTCTGGAAATTTCTTCGTTCTTTCCCCTGTGCCTTATTTGTCAGTCTGCAAATAATGAGACGTTCTAACCTCCAAACTGTTCCTGAGAGATAGGCCATGGGGAATGGAGGATAGGGAAATTAACGGGTCTGGGGCGGGCCCTTTGGTCGGGCACTTCGTCCAGCCATCTCTAGGAGTTAAATTTGGGCTATGATAAAGTACAGGGGTAGATCACAGTACTAGTATTAGGCTAGTCAACTACCAGTATACTCTGTACTAACGTGTCCCCGTGAGGGAAGGATGACGAGAACTGAGCTACACTAGGGTCAGACCCTTTGTTAGTTGCTCTTTCTTCTACTTCATCAAATAGAGTCATACTTCCCCCAAATTTTGGGCACTAGGCTTTCTGAATCTGAATCAAATCAGACATTCTGTATGAGCAGGAAAAAATATATCTTTAATTAAAAGCTCTGCTTTTTTGCGGGGGTAATTCCTGTTAACTCACACCCAGATTTTGGCTACTCGCCAACCGCTGAAGTTTTAATGTCTTAAATTTAGACAAAATCAGAGTATCAATTAAAATGTTTAATTTGGCAACATACGAAAATAAATTACTACGAAGAGTGATTTGGAAACTATAATCCTAATAGGAATTTTAGTGTTGGATTCTTAGAGTTAGAACCATAAACAGTATTTCCATCTCCTTGGATAAAGACTCGTCAAGTACATAAGGTATGTTGTAAAAAAAAAACTCAAAATCTTCAGATTAGGAAAGAACCCAAAATGTTTGATCATAGAGTTCTATATGTCAAACTGGACAATTTTTTCCAAAACCTTGGGTCAAGAGCTCCCGACAGGCCCCCCTTTTTTACAAAAAAACGCGATTCTAAAAGCTTAGAGATCTCCAGTAAACTGAAAGACTGCCCCTTTTAGATCCAGCCTGTTACTGGGGTTTTTTGTAACAATTAGTCATATCCCTTTTTCAATTATTCATTAAAATCAGTATATTCAAAGTGCTTCGGATTAAAATGGTAGGGGACTAACTAGAAAATTTAAAAAATTTTAAAAAATTTATTAAGTCTAGATTTAATAAGATTTTAAAAAGATATTACAAATTAACAAGTAAATTTGTGTATGTGGTAAGGCCTTTGTAGTTCGCTTGTCTCACGACTGACTAGACTTAAACAAGTGACTGACAAAGTCCTCAAATAAACAAGTTCTTTACCCTTGGCAATCAAACAGTCTGCTTGAACAAAAAAGAAAAATTAAGCCCAATAGCAAAATAACAACAACTGCGACAAGAACAGGGAAAAAGGAATAATATAACGACTTAAGTAGGGACCCTCAGCAGATCCTCCCCGAAAGTCACAAAACTCCCCTACACTGAATCTAATTCAGCATAAGAAAAAACCCGATGTGACATACCAGTACCAGCAAGTTTGGGAGAACTACAGCTCAGGACCTGAGTTTGCTCAGAGTGTCTATGCGACCCAACCCCAGTACAGTCGAAAATCAATAAAGTCTATACAAAATTCTGTGAACAGATTCACAAACTAACAAAAATAAGGAAACAATCTGTCCCCAAACCCCAAAAGATCTGACCGACGAATACTTAAGGGGAGGGGAGGGGCAAAACCCCCCCCCCCATCACGTGTAGCTCCGTGGGCAGGCACTCGAACGAACCGGCAGTCTAAACAAGCAAAAGAGCGATAATTACGAGTTTTTGACAATCAAGACTTGAACTGAGAATAATTTACTCCTACCAACAACATAAGTCAAATAATTTTAAAAAGAATTAACGATTTAGCTATTTTCGCAAAAATAAGCAGTTAAAAATTAATGAAAACGTAATAACATTTAATAAATCTAAATATACATTAATAATATTACAATTAATCTTTTAACCATTCAGGGTTTCAACACCCATGCCCCACCCACTCCTCGCCCACTGCCTCACCCATTGCCTCACCCTTCCTCAACCCCTGCTTTTTACCATCCAGTCCACTCAATCTACAAACACTAAAAAAAATGAATTATTGTGAAATTTTTTAAGAGACAGGACTAATGCCCCTCCCGCAAAACAAAGCCCATGGAAAAGCGTCAATATTTCCCTCTATTTTTGTACAATTTCCTTCTTTTAAATTTTATCGAAAAGTATTCATTTTATTATTATTATTATTAAATTTTTTATTATTATTATTATTATTTTATTTTTAATTATTATATTTTATTATTATTTTATTATTATATTTCTATTTTTATTTTCTATTGTTTTATTAAAAAAGCAAAAGTTTTTCTTTGCTGTGTTCAAGAGTAAAAAAATGAGTACCGCCAATACCTGTCCAATAGCCCTTTCAATATGCAGTCATGAATGGGTTTAATTTTTTATACTGTATTTAATAGCAAATAATGAAAAAACAAAACACTCACCCACTGGTGGAGGCTGGGGTGCCATTTTGGGGGGCAGAGGGAGGGGAGGGACTCTCAGTGGTTGAGGAAGTGGTGGAGGCATTGGTGGAGGCAGTGGTGGAGGCAGTGGTGGAGGCAGTGGTGGAGGCAGTGGTGGAGGCAGTGGTGGAGGCAGTGGTATTTAATAAAATACATGTTATTAAACCATAACATGTATGTATTTAGTACAATTTATGACATTTTCATGTATTTTATGATTGTTCGTGGTTCAACAAGTTAAGGAAGCAGTATTGTAATATATTTCCCTACAATATTTTGTGGTACCAAACATTCGCGATTTTTCAACATTCGTGAGGCTCTTGATCCCCTAACCCTCACGAATGTTGAGGGAGACCTGTATATTAAACAACCATGGTGACATTACACATCCCTGTCTAAGACCTACTTTTACCGGGAAGTAGGCTCCCTCTCTTCTACATGTTTATTATTTTTGGCACTTGCTTTGCTCTTAAGATGGTTTTTGGCAGTTTTTAAAAAAATATTTATTATTTTTACTTTTGCATCATTTTTTTAGACCCAATTTTATTGTGCACTTAATAAATGATAGTGTGAACATGTTTTTAGGCTTTTATATGCACTGGCAAGTGAAAAAAAAGGCTATGATTCACTTTTTGGTAATATTCACTTTATGGCGGCTGACTGGAATGTAACCCACTGTATTACTGAGGTATGCTTGTACTGTATCAAACCTGTTTAGCCTGCAGACTTAACACATCCCCATGAATATACAGGAATAGTTATTCACTGAGTTGCCTCATTTCCTCGTAGTCTTGCCTTTTCGTTCTTCCCTCTCACTTAGTACATGCAGCAGTATAATGGTGTATATTGTATTTTACTTTCAGGGTTCTGTCTCCATTCAGTACAATAAACTTCATGCAGACCCTAAGCAAGGAAAGACCTTGGACATTGCCATGAAGAAGGTCAAGCATCGACTGGTTGAAAATCTCTCTTCTTCAACAGCAGATGCCCTGGGCCTCTCACGTGCCATTTTGTGCAATGACTCATTGGTCAAAAAACTGGATGATTTACAGAGGACTGAAGAGATGTATCAGGCTCTCATGGACCATACTAAACGACTGCTAAAAGCCTTCTTTGATTTAGCAATTGTTTATAGAAGTAAGTAAAGATGCCCCTCGTTTTACGATGGTTTCACTTATGGTATTTCGACTTTATGATGGTGCGATTATAATGCTGCACAGTACAGTGTTGTACATTTATTGATAGGATAAACTTGTATTCATTTATTTACTTTTCAGTACTGGTATATAGTTACAGTAATTATTTGTTTATTTACTTATTCAGTGATGGTGGTTATTTATTTTCACATCATGTTTGACTTACAGTATTTTCAACCTACCATGGGTTTATTGGAACTCCATCATAAATTAAGGAGCACTTGTACATACACCAGACATAAAGTTTGTGGTTATATAAGTTACTGAAGCCATGTTAAAATGTTCACTTAGATCATGTGTGCAGTTGAACATTGCTATATTGTATATTTTAATAATGGATAGAGACGAATGGTTTTTGGGATCTGATGAGCAGTTGGAGTGCGAGCAGGGTAATATTTTGTGAAAGATTCAGAGAAACTGGTTAGCTGGACTTGAGTCTTGGAAGTGGGAAGTACAATGCCTGCACTTTAAAGGAGGGGTTTAGGATATTGGCTGTATGGAGTGACATCTAAAGTGTCATACCTGGGCGATTCTGCAAAGACAGTGATATTGTGTGAATGATGGTGAAAGTGTTTCTTTTTTAGGTCACCCTGCCTCGGTGGGAGACGGCCGACCTGCTAAAAAAAAAAATTTAATGAACCTACAATGCTCATAAATTTTTTTTGATAGATAATGAAAAGAGGCAAGTTTCTTGAAGTTACTGTGCTAGGTACACTGGCATGAGGTGGCAGGGTCCTGTGTCTGTAGGGATCTTAGAAATTACAGCCTCTCCTTACTTAGCGACGTACTCGTTTACCGACGACTCGGACTTACAGCGGGCTCTCTGACCAGTATGCAAACCTAAATAATGTATATTAAAGCTGATTTCCTCTATTCTGTTTATTGCAATATACAGTACACTGCTGTATAAACATTTAAAAATACAGTGAACCTCAGCTTACGAATGCTCCACCATGCGAATTTTTCAGGATACGAACTGTCGTTTGGTCAATTTTTTTGCTTCTGGATACAAACGAAATTTCAGGATGCGAACTTCCCCCCCAAGGGAGGTTGCTTAAATAAATAAATAAATAAAATATTTAATTCTTTGCTAAGGTTACATTGTTTGTTTACATATCATAATATGATTGGAGCAAAGAAAGCCACTGTCATGCCGAGGCATTTCGGGGAGACTTAACCTAATACTAATAGACTACTTAAGTCTAGACAGGTGAAAAGTGTACTAGTAGTGGTTACCAATGTTTTGCTGATGGTGGCGCCAACTACTGGCAGCTTTTTGAAGTTTCTCCTTACTGATATTATTATATTTATTATTACATTATTATTATCATTATTATTATTGTTATAATAATTATTATTATTATTAGTATGTATGTGGTGATGGGCTCTTGATCTAGGGAATTGGGTCTGTGCTTCAGTTCCCTAAATTAATAATAATAATAATAATAATAATTGTAATTATAATATATACGTACATACTACTACTACTAATAATAATAATAATAATAATTATAATTATTATATGTACATAATAATAATAATACAATATAATAGTAATAATAATATGTTGTCATTTTTAGACATTTTTCGTATTTTTTTTTTTTTATTTTTGTGCCAAATGCTTCGAAATAGAAATTGGTAACCCTCTGGGTGGCTGTAGGTACAGCTGCTATGACCACAGCTATCTCAGTGCCGACCAAGTGTCAAAAGGAAGAGGAGGTGTGCCGCTCTGAGTGACTGCAGCACACCTTGGGATGTGTAATTTTGTCTTATATTGTATAAATTTCTTACACAATGCCTTGCTCAGAGAGACAGTATTTGCGTACAATTAGCAAGAAGCTCAGGAAGCAATTTGAAACTATGAAAAAAGCTAGAGAAATGAAGAAGGCAGCAGCATAGAGCGAGGCAGCTGGCCGCCACCACCACCACCACTGTGGCCGCCACCACCACCACCACTACCACCACCACTGTGGCTGCTACCACCACCCACCACCACCACTGTGGCTACCACCAGCACCACTGTGGCTGTCACTACCACCAACACCACTGTGGCTGCCACCACCACCACCACTGTGGCCACAGTGATCATGTCTTCACCTATATATACATCTGCCTTGACCACACCTGTGGTTACATATGTGACAACCTCACCACTGATCATAGATGAACACAAGCTAGGTGTGGGGCTATGGACTGGGAAGATACTAGAGTGGGAGAGCAAATGGCAGATGCTTTCTGCCGCTGCCGGCACTGCCATCACTTGCCATATTATGGCCTATTTTATTCATTCTAGAGTATATATCATGTTTCTATATTATTAACATTGTTTATTATGTCATTTTAGATAAATTGTGATAGATAACTAAGCCATAGAGTTGATATTAGCATTATTTTGTCATGCCTCCTGAAGGCTGGAACGGATTAATTGCATTTCAGTTAATTTAACCCTTAAACTGTCCAAACGTAGATTTACGTTTTTTCAACATTTGAAAGTATGTAAAAAAAGTAGATCTTTTTTTTTTTTTTAATTTGAAAACGTGTAAAAAAACATTGATCTACGTTTTTTTTTTTTTTTGTTATATTTGAAAATACAGTGGACCCCCGCTTAACAATCACCTCCCAATGCGACCAATTATGTAAGTATATTTATGTAAGTGCGTTTGTATGTGTATGTTTGGGGGTCTGAAATGGACTAATCTACTTCACAATATTCCTTATGGGAACAAATTCGGTCAGTACTGGCACCTGAACATACTTCTGGAATGAAAAAATATCGTTAACCGGGGGTCCACTGTATGTAAAAAAAATGTAGAGCTACTTTTGGAGCACTACGCATGTGAACGTAGATCTGCTTGGACAGTTTAAAGGTTAAAGGATATGAACAAGGTCACGGAACGGATTAAATTCGTAAGCCGAGGTTCCACTGTATACCAGAACTGTTATAAATGTGACATTATAACCGTTATAAAGGTGACATTAAAACAATATCGAAGATGGTTGACACAAACCCACTACCTTTATAGTATGCTCCTCACTTAGCGATGAATTTGTTTACCGACATGGTCTTAGGAACAGAACTCCATTGTTAAGTGAGGAGAGGTATTGTTATCATTTCCTTGATCTCTTATTAAATTTATATGTCTTGCTTGCAGGGTTTGGAGATATCTTTTGTGAGATTGGTGTTCGTGAAATTCAACAAAGTGCCAATGAAGCCTTCAACCAGTTTGGGGAGGCTCACCGCCAGATGGAGAAGTATGGCATTAATATGCTGAAGAGGCTTAAACCAGTAAGTTGACTTGAAGGACATATTTTCGTTGACTTGAAGAACATGTTTTCAGGCAGGCCCTACTTAACTACGCTTCACTTTACAGCGCTTCACTAATGCAGCAGTTTTCAATTTTACCCATTCTTCATTTATTCAGACTTCCTACAATAAATATATTCACTCAATATCAGCTAAGGACAAAAATATTTTAAGGTAAATAATGTGTGTTGTAGGTAGTAGGTTGGTAGACAGCAACTGCTCAGAGAGGTACTACCATTCTGCCTGTAATTGTTTTACATGATGGTAGGATTGCATGCAAGATTTCAGGTATGTCTTGCTGCTTCTACTTACACTTAGGTCACACTACACATGCATGTACAAGAATTTACAGTAGGGCCCCGCTTTATGGCGTTTCGCCTTACGGTGTTCTGCTAATATGACGATTTCAAATTATGAGCAGAATTTGCTGTACAGCAAGCGGTCTTTCAAATACGGCGCGCCCCACCCGGTTTGTTTACATTCTCTGTGAGCACATCTGTTATGTATGGAAACTTTCCAAAATTTCAAGTGTTTTAAAGTTATTGCGTATTTTATATGTACTCTGATAATTATACATATGTGTACCTGTACCTAAATATGCTTACACACTGTGCTGGTGTGCAGGTACACATTAAAATCACTAAGAATCTCTTGACTCATGATGCCATAGTAATACTACATAATCATAATCTCTCTTGGGCACATTAAATGTCTTATTTTATGTTAATATAGACATTTTCATTAATCCATTTTCTTTAAAATTATATAAGAAACATGTTACACAGCATATAAACATTATACATACACCCACAAAGTAAAAATTGACATAAACAGGAATTTGTTTACAAAGTGGCTTTGTAGGAGTGTTGGAAGAATTACGTTTTGTCTAGCCAAACACTGGGGGATAACTGTAGATAAATATTCCTTTCATATCCCTTCACTTCTTTTTTATTATGATTATAATAATAATAACTTGTAATAATAATTTGTAATAATAATAATAATAATACAGTGGACCCTTGAATTTAGTCCTGCCTTTTCTGTATGCAAAACTATTTTTATTATCTATAAAAAGTATTTTTTGTTAATATTTCCCATAGGAAATATTGTAAATCCAATTAAACCATTCCAGACACCCAAAAATATTAACAAAAAATATATTTTATAGATAAAAATAGTTTTGCATACAGAAAAGGCACGATTAAATTCGAGGGTCCACTGTACTAGGTAGTAGGTTGGTAGAAAGCAACCACCCAGGGAGGTACTACCGTCCTGCTAAGTGAGTGTAAAACGAAAGCCTGTAATTGTTTTACATGATGGTAGGATTGCTGGTGTCCTTTTTTCTGTCTCTTAAACATGCAAGATTTCAGGTACATCTTGCTACTTCTACTTACACTTAGGTCACACTACACATACATGTACAAGCATATACTACGTATATACATACCCCTCTGGGTTTTCCTCTATTTTCTTTCTAGTTCTTGTTCTTGTGTATTTCCTCTTATCTCCATGGGGAAGTGGAACAGAATTCTTCCTCCGTAAGCAATGCGTGTCGTAAGAGGCGACTAAAATGCCAGGAGCAAAGGGTTAGTATCCCCCATCTCCTGTATATATTACTAAATTTAAAAGGAGAAACTTTCGTTTTTCCTTTTGGGCCACCCCACCTTGGTGGGGTGGCCCAATGTAAGGTGTTTGTATGAATGTTTATGAACCATAACCAGATGCATCATCTGTTTGTTTACATAGTGGGTGGGGTGGCCAGGCTGGATTCCCTATACTACATAGTGGGTGGGGTGGCCAGGCTGGATTCCCTATACTACATAGTGGGTGGGGTGGCCAGGCTGGATTCCCTATACTACATAGTGGGTGGGGTGGCCAGGCTGGATTCCCTATACTACATAGTGGGCAGGGTGGCCAGGCTGGCTTCCCTATACTACATAGTGGGTGGGGTAGCCAGGCTGGCTTCCCTACACTACCCTACCTACCACACTACTTTCTACAAATAAATACTTTCACCTTTCACCCTACATTAAGATTACAAATATTTTAAGGAAAGTTATGAGTGTACTGTATATGCATTTTATCACTCTATGGAGCTTTAAGGATCGTCGTAGTATATTATGTGTGGGTGGGGGTGGCCAGGAGGGCTACCACACCTAACTTCTTAGAGTAAATACTACTCACCTTTTGCCCTACATTAAGACTATGAATATTTTGAGGTAAATAATGAGTGTACTGTGTGTGTATTTTACTTTTCATTGTTTTTAATGCCTAGTTCTTTTGGTCACTTAATATATGCTAGTGTAAACGTGTTATCTGGCATTTATATGCATTTATAAGTGGAAAAAATGGTGTTCTGCTTTCCGGCCATGTCTGCTTTACGGCAGTAGCCTGGAACCTAACCTGCCATAAAAGTGGGGCCCTACTGTACAGTGGACCCTCGGTTCTCGGCTGTAATCTGTTCCAGAAGTTCGGCCTAAAACCGAAATAACAACCTTCAAATTCAAATTCAAAGTTTATTCTCTATAAAGATTACAATGTTGAATTTACAGAATTTGGTTGTTGTGTGGTTTACATGTAGTTATATAATGATTACAGAGTGTACCACTAGAACGCCTAGCATGGCTAGGCATTTCGGGCACACTTAGTTTAATTCTTTATTTTAAAATATTACAAATTATGAGGTAAGTTGGTATTATGGCTAAGTGACTAAATACTAGTTTGTGAGTTTAGCAATGTGAATGCTTTTGTTTTGGCACAGTACATAGTTTCAGTATTGGAGTATCATGGATTCATTATTTTAAGATTGAGATTAATTATTTCTGTTTATGGTCAAATGGGTGAGTGAGTGTAAGTGTGAACCACCAGGTGGTATTCGTGTAGTTAGTTGATGGGGTGTATCGGGGAGATAAGATGTTTTCTAATGGTAGTTTTGAAGGTGATGAATGTGTCTGCAGTTCTAGAGTTCTCAGGTAGGGTGTTCCAGATTTTAGGGCCTTTGACATACATTGAATTTTTGTAAAGGTTTAGTCGGACACGGGGAATGTCGTAGAGATGTTTGTGTCTGGTGTTATGCCTGTGGGTTCTGTCACAACTATCAAGAAAGCGTTTTAGGTCAAGGCTGATATTGGAGTTTAAGGTCCTGTAGATGTAGATTGCACAGTAGTAAGTGTGGATGTACTGAACAGGGAGTAAATTTAGATCTATGAAGAGTGGGGGGTGTGTTGCCAGGGATGGGATTTAGTGATTATTCTTACTGCAACTTTTTGTTGGGTTATTATTGGCTTTAGGTGTGTTGCTGCAGTTGATCCCCAAGCACAAATAGCATAGGTGAGGTATGGATAAATAAGTGAGTGGTATAGTGTGAGAAGGGCTTTTTTGCGGCACGTAGTATCGTATCTTGGAGAGGATCCCAAAACTGTTTTGGATACTTTTTTGGTTATGTGTTGGATATGGGTGCTGAAATTCAGGTTGTTGTCAAGGTATAGGCCTAGGAATTTGCCCTCATTATGTCTGGTAATTAGAGTGTTGTCGATCTTAATGTTAATTTGTGCATCTCCTGCTCTGCTACCAAACATAATATAGTAGGTTTTGTCAGTGTTAAGCGTAAGTTTATTGGCTGTCATCCAAGTCGATATTTTGATCAGCTCCTCGTTAACAATGGTGTTGAGGGTGGCAAGATTAGGGTGAGAGATGACATAAGTCCGTGTCGTCAGCAAAGAGAATGGGTTTCAGGTGTTGGGATACGTTTGGAAGATCATTGATGTATATGACGAAGAGCAGGGGACCAAGGATACTTCCCTGCGGAACTCCAGTATCAAGTGGCCGTGTTGTTGATGCTGTGTCTTTAATGGTAACATACTGATACCTATTAGTAAGGTAAGATTTGAAATAAGCAAGCGCATGGCCTCTTATACCGTAATGGTCAAGTTTGTGGAGTAGGATGTCGTGGTCTACTGTGTGAAAAGCTTTTCTTAGGTCAATAAAAATTCCTAGTGGATATTCCTTGTTTTCCAATGCTGTGTAAAGCAGATCTAGCATTTTTATGATTGCATCATTAGTGCTTTTATTTTTCCTAAATCAAAATTGGCAGGGGTTGAGTATGTTTTGTGCTGTTATAAATGAATATAGTCTCCTGTGCACGAGTTTCTCAAAGATTTTGGATAGCAATGGTAAGTTTGATATTGGCCTATAGTTGCTTAAGTCTGTGGGGTCCCCACCTTTATGTTTTGGGTGTAACCCTTCCCATCTGATAGTTCGGGAAGTGCTTTTTCTAGTGACTGTTAAAAAGTAAAAAAGCACAAAAGGATAGGGGCCCTCGCTTGTACGTAATGGGGGGACATTAAAAAATTTCCCTGAGTTGTTTTTAAAGTGACTTTAAATCCGGTGACTTCCAGGGCTCATTTGGTGCAAGATAGAAGGAATTTGGAAATTCCCATCAAAGTAGTCCCCCATGGGCATTAAAAATGGGGATTTTATTTAGCGAGATTAGACCCTATGGTTGAAAAAGAAGTCGTTTATCTTGTTAGCTGTGTCGGGGATGTTGGTGTTTCATTGGGTTTTAGTTTAGGACAAATTCTTTTTTTTTTTCAGTTTGGGGTTCCCTAAATCTGAGGAGTGTTTTCCATGTTTTTTTTTATATCTCCTCTTGTCTTGAACAGGAGTAGTATAGTTTTTGGCTTTCTTTATTTTTTTGTGAAAATGATGAATAGGTTTAAGAAAATCTTTGTGTATTAACCCCTGTCTATATTGCTTTTCATTTTGGGTGTTCTTGTTATGGATTTCAGAATGGGGGCGGTTAGCCAGGGGCAACCAACCCTTTGTTTTATCTGTTTCGTTTTTTGGACATGTTTGTTGTATAGTCAAGAAATTTTAAATTGAGCCAAGTAGGGGAAATGTTCGTTTTTTTTACCAATGCAGGAGTAAGCAAATCAAACCACACGCCCAATAACATCAACGGGGAGTCTGATAATCTTTCTTTAGTGCACTGATATTATTTATCCTTT